TTATTTGAAGGCCATTCTCGGTAAAAGAGAAGTTAAACTGACTCAATACATCCAAACCTAATACAATTTGATTACATAATGACTTAACAACATAAATTTTCGTACGAAGTGAAAAACTATCAATTGAAATATCAGAAATGAAAAAAGCCGATGGGGTACGTTTGCTTTGATTCAATTCCGTTTAATGTGATATCGCTACAATTTAAATTAGGAGAACCAATCTGCTTGTGTAACTCTACGCTGCATATCGTTACATCTGAACCAGTGTCAACTAAACTATCAACTAAATGATTATTTATTTCTACAGTCTTCATAATTCTATCCTTGTCACAAATTCGTTGTAATAAAGCTGCTTGATGTGTCTCGGGGTCTGCTCTGGACAGTTCGTTGAATAATGCCCGAACTTCTTACATTTTACACCCTTTGATTTGTTTACACAATGCTTTGAATAATGCCCAAATTCCTGGCAATTAAAACATTTGACCTTATTAACGTTAGATTGATTTCGGTTTGATGACGAAAGCTTACTTCTATCTTTAACTTGAGTGTCTACTTTCGTTTTCGGATTTTTAAACTTATCATTATCCGATCTCATTTTATCATAAATTTTAAGCCTTTGTTTAAATTCAGATATTGTTTCGCAACCATATAGTATAGTTTTCCTAACCACAGAATCGGGAATACCATCAATAACATATTTAATTAATGAAGCATCTTCAATGTTACCTCGCGAACACATTTCTTTCATTTTCAAAAAATACTCATCTAAAGATTCATTAGGCATTAATTTACGTTTACATAACATTTCATGCAACTCAGCAGAATTAAAAGCTTTACCATATTCAGATTTCAAAAGCTTTTTTAACTTACACCAGTCATTAACTTTAGGTTCACTCTGAATAAATAGTTTCGCTTTACCTTTTAATGATCTTTTAGCAAAAACTAATTTATGCAAATCACTTAATTTCAAAGAATTTATAACATCTTCAAATTCATCAATCCATTTATCAACATTTTCATATGCATTACCAGAAAAAGGATTAACAATACTTTCAATATCAGAAAAACTAAGATGAGGTTTAAAATGATCTTGAATTGGAAGCTGCATACTGTTATTTACTTGAGACTCATTAAAACCAGGATTGTCTCTTTGATTATCATCAAGCATTACTTCAGAAATTTTATTAATAGTTTCATCTTCAATATCACTATTTTCTTCATGCAAAATTTTTTTTCAAATAATACAGATAAATCACATAGGAAAGAGACAATTCGGGTTACGACTTCCGTTTTTGAAACCTTCTGAATTTATGCACAATACATTGCAAACTTTAATTAACTCATTCAAAGTAAAACTATTCTGCATCTATTTTCTTATTAAATTCTTCAGAATCTGGTTTAAATATAAAGCCAGAAAATTCACGTAATCTTTTCCGGTTATTTCGATCTCCATCAGTATTAAAAATAAGCTTATGCAAACTTTTGATTTCAGAACTTTTACTGTTCTTTAAAGCTGCTTCCAATTCTGGAATTTCTACTAACTTCATATTGGAAAGAAAGTTTTGTACTCACCCGACAGATGATCGTCGTCAATTGGGTAATCCACACTTTATACGAGTAATCCAATAAATCGAATAACTTGTGACAACAGTTCAGTCAGTTCAAAAGGACAGTTCTACTACTCGCACATTTTGGAATTCGAGGCCGCACGGTTGGTCGCCATATTTTTTTGTAGAATTTGACTTAATTCACAGCATGAGAGCACGAAGTAATATTTAAATGGTTTATTTAATAGAAAGAAATAAAAGTAATTAAGAAAAGTATATAAAGATGAAGTTAACGGTATGCAGGATTAACATAATGATGCACCAACAGTCACAATTAAAGTTCATAAACTCTTGAAGACGTGTGAGCCGTCTGCTCACGTCTCGACCAGGTCTCAGCGCTGTCTGGGATGATTCTTACTGCGCTGGGCTGTGATGCTATACTGATGACGTCATAACGGGCAATTCTCATTCAGCATTGGACGGTATGATTTCCCACATATATATGTGTGTGTGTGTGTGTGTAAGATATAAAATGTGAAATAAAATTACTAATTTTAATTTAGCAATAAGTTAGAAATTTAATCACACCATATATATATATATATCTGTGTAAGATATGAAATGTGAAAGAAGATTACTAATTTTAATTTAGTAATATTCACTTTACTTCTTCATTTTAATTTGGTTTGGTTTTCCCCATGTGTAACGTGTATACGAGCCAGTTTCCCTTAGAAAGTCCTCCACGAAGGCATCCCTCCCTTTAGGCAGATAGCCCTCGAGGCTTTGCCATAATCACACACACATACATTTTAATTTGGCTGCGTCCCTTTTCTGTCTTAAAAATACTGAAATATGAATTTAAAGTGTGTCATCTCAAAAATTAATCCACATCATGCCATTACGTGGCACAGCAGATATTTTGTATCCAATCGCAGTTTAGAATTTAAGCAAAGAAATCAAATCTGTAAATATCGCTTTGCAAAAATGCACACTTACTTCCGCCCTATCCTCTCGCTGTGCTAGCACGTGTCAATCGCCTCTCTTTGTCACCCATTTTCTAAAGATTTGAGAAGATATACAAAATTGTGTGGTGCATTATCGCATCCAGAATTATGTGTGGTGTCTGATATGTATCAAGAATACCCAACAATAAATTGATAACCTGTTTTGTCCGCGTCTCTCTTTGAACGTGATTATACGTAGCTACGCATTTCTATAATTCTATATTTGTAGCAAATAATCTTAATTTATCCTCAGAATTTATCACACACACAAAAGTAGTCCAGTAGAATGATACAAAATTTACAAAAGTCTACATCAAATTTCGCCGTTTAGAACAAGAGCATTGACGAAGACACAAAAATTGCAATATCAGATGTCAATTCTTTTACTTTTTTATTCTTGCCGATTTCGCAGATGGGTAAGGAAGAATGTTTTTCTAGTTTATGTTTTAAACATTCAACTGGAAAACCATGATCGACAGGGAGTTAAGGAGATAATCTACTTTTCAGCGAAGAGTTTAGTTGAAATCATCAAATGAAAAATATCTTTGGTCATTTTTTTACAAAACATTAAACTGTTATTTGATTCTAATGAATTAAAACTATTTGCTGATTATCGTGTAAGAATAAATAATGTAATTTACCATTAGGCAATATAAAACAACTCTTTTGTAAATGTTACTTGTAGTTAACTTTTTTTATCAATTTGAATATTTCGCCTAATCTCTAGCTTTCCATCTCATGTAGCTGATGCATTGTATCAGCCAACAATTTAATACTTCTTAAGTATTTACTTGGAAACCTCTTACAGGTAGTGTCCTGGATTTTGTAAGTCACTATCTTAAAGTACACCGGAAGTTATAATGACAGCATAACATATCGACAACGTGTATGTCATTTATACACCCTACCGTGCATATCTAGACGTCACCAGCTGGGCTGTCGAACTGATTTATAGGTAAACCTAGAAAGGGGAACGCTAAATATGCACTTCCCATTACAGGCGTGTCATCCTGCTAAGGCTTACAAGACAGCTGTGATGTTCCGTGTCTGTTGAAAGCAGCATTGCATCTTAAATCCCTGTCGAAGGTATTCATAAGCTTTGGATCATATTTTCTCAATAATTAATATTTCGCGTGATGAGGAAAATGATTTTCTGACTGAGATAATTTACATCATGTTTCAGAAAGCTTTGTGGCCGATCTTTTACACTAATTTAAATGCACTGAAGAACCAGAAAATTTTATTACTAAATGGATTGCGTATTGATATAAAAGAGTTACCCTGGAAAACTAACTTGTTTTGGTTTCATTAAGTATGAGAATCTGATAGTTATTTGCTTTGATCAAGCTCTGAAATCAGATTCCTTAAACAGAGTTCAAAGCAGATGATACTTTGAAAGTGTGTGGAGTAGGTTTCTCATGAGATTTGTAGTACAGGTAAAAAATACCTGTGCCCTTGACATTCTTTATAAACTTTTCCTAGCCTCAACGCCTTGAGTGCTTAAATAGTTGAGCTAATGCAGTTATTTTATATTTTATGTCTGTGGGATTCTCACTTGTGTATTTCTCAGTTACTGTAGAAAGTGAAGAATCTTAAGAGCTGCTAAGAGAATAATAGCTTAAGTTCGTGTGACAAGAAATAACAAGATAGAAGGGTAATTAACCCTTTATTATTTCAATAAGATTTAACAGAACTCCGTTTTGGAGTGTACAATAAAATCCGACACTTAGGCTATAACTTAAAAGACTAAGAAATAAACTAAAACTAATTTTAAACTAAAGAGACATAGCCGAAGCTATCAAAATTTAATGCAGTTAGCCCCTTAAATACGAGATGACTGCGAAGCTAGCAAGGGCCTGAGTACGGCCGAGCGTAATGAGAGTTTTGAGAAAGAGTAGCCAAAAAGCAGACGCGCGCAAATCAGAAACTCTGATTCTCTCTTTCTCAGCAAGTAGAACTTCGCGGTTAAATACCGCTCTTCCTCATTATGTATTCAGAGTGTTTCTAAAACTACGTTCTGGCCGGAAGTAGTAAGTTGACGTTAAGAATTTGACAGGAAAGGAACTTTAACTTAAAATTTAACTTTTAATAAAATTAACATAACCCTTACATGTCTATACTTAAACAGTTTTTACTTCATATGGGAATGAAATATCTAATCTGAATCCCCATTTGCCATAATTTTTAAGACAAAACTTTTAAACTGAAAGGAATTATCTGTTTTTCTATCAAATACTGATTTAAAGTTAAACTTGACCATAACTTTGCTGAAAATTTTCCTTTCTTGAATGTCTTGTCTTTATTTTCAGTTACATCTGAAAACTTCTAGTCAACAATAGCGCTTGCATCTTACCTGAAGAATTATCTTCTTATTCTTGAATGCCTTCTAATAAGAAATCGGAAGTTTTTCAATTTCCAGATTTTTCAGAAAGTTTTATTTTATTTCAAGGTGGACAAAGAACACGTGATCCGTTATAGAGGAGCAGAGGGTTTGTTGGGTCTAAGGCTTCGCGTACAGCCCAAACATTTGGATGAGAACGAAGGAATGCGACTGAAATGCACGGCTACCCTTTCCAAAGTGATCAATACTCGTAGTGAAGAGACCACCCTAGGTGGTAATCACAGAACATCTGGACTGACTGTGGCAGAAAATTTTGGCAAAGGTAAGCATGATGTAGTTTCACAACCCTTTTTTTAACAACTATGAGTAAATATCAGTCTTAGTTCTTTTAAGCAAAACATGTGAATAAATATGTTCTAAAGTATAGTAAGTAAAATAAATGTATTACAATAACATATGCTGGACATTCATTTACCCTTTGTTTCTAGATCTTAGTTAATGTTCCATAATCTACAAGTCATTTTTAAAATAGGATTCAAAATTTGCACTCAGTTTTGTTAATCAGTGTTTCAAAAAGTTGGTTGCCTACTTTCAGTTTTTAAAGATTTGATAAATAACATTTAAAAAAGTAAAATAAACATTTAAAAAATACTTATGTCATTGAATTGTAATATACTCTATACAGTATTACAATAGGTATTAGAAATATATATGTATATAATGATAGCACAAATTTTGGAAGTACTATGCACAGAAATGCTGATTGCGTAGTTACTTAATGCTTAAAGCGTCCATCCATTTTTGAAGAAGAAACAGTCGAGCCGGATTAAATTCCTTTTATTTATTTAATTTCCCATTTTGTGGCCACAATTCACTTGGTACTCTACTCGTGCCTATTTAAGAACATTTACAATTTTGATATTATTGCTATAGAAGCGAATAAAGCAGCACACACATGATTGCAGAAAGACGTCTGGTCAAGAGGAAAGCACAAGCAAAAGTGACGCATCAGTTCATAGAAAAAAGGAAGGCAGTCAAAATTTTCAGTTTTTTAGTTTTGGTTTACAATTTGGTGATTGGTCAAGAGGCATCTGCATTAAGGGTTACGTAAGATCGCATGATTAATTTGAATGTCGCAGCGCTATTTACACTACACTTACAGCGCTATTTTTAGGACAGAGCGATGAAATTTCCAAATGAAATATAAAAAAAGAGGTTATAGTGAATTAAAATTTAGAAGTTTGCTTTCATATTTTTTATCTTATATGTATATTATATATATATATGTACACAAAATGGATCAGGTTTTGGGCTGTTCTGGTAAGGACGTTTCGAAAGCAAAGCTCAAATTAAGCATTTCTTAATTAACTGATTAGGTATCAGAAGATAATACTTGAAAGTCATCATCTCCTGTATCAGAAATCACTCTGATAATGTATTAGTTTAAAACTTTTAGATAATCTTGGCAGCAGGTTTATTCCATAAACAATAATATGTTTAATTACATAAAAAGTAGTACAACAATTTTCAATGGATTAAAGTTGGTATCGTAGATCTCCCTGATAATATTGTTGCGTGCGTATGGGTTCGTTTGAATTGAATGCACAAGTCCATGAAAAATTGACAAAATTTTATTATTATCACAATAAAAAATGCTTAAATTCCCTCAGATATTCTTTCAGTATTACAATATCTCACAGTAGTTATCTTTCAACTATTGAAAAGTTCAACAAATGTTAATTCAAAACAGCTAAAAAGATAGCTAATCCGCGAATTCGCTACAATCAACAAAGAGCAGTTTTCTAAACAAACTCTTAAAACAACAACAAGCTAACTAAAATCGCTGACTAACTGAATTGAAATCGAAATCGAAATCGAGTCAATGGCTAGGCGGCAATTAGTAGCCAACCGCTACTTTAACCGTCTCTGTTGGTAAATTGCCCTAAGGCGTTGGTACTATGAAGGCGATTTATGCCGCGCCAACTAGGCGAAACTTGTCAAATTTTGTGAAATGTAGGTGGAGTGGACGGAGATGATTGGCAGGAGCCTGTCACGTGGGTGGTGACCCACCTAAGTTCAGACTCCGAGCAAAGCAGCTTAAGCGTGCAATGAGAAATATTGGATATATTAATAATTATCAAGTTTTGAAACAGGTTATCCAGATTGGAATAATTAAACTAATATCGCGATCTAAATGAAGACAAATGGCACAACTAAGTGCAACAGATTAGCTAAACAAAATATTCAAATTCATCCTTGCTGTAAAACACAGATTGGACAGTGGTAGTCACGTGGGGGTCACCCTCCCGTGAACTGTCCACAGCCAATGCATCTTGAAATAGTAGATATCACAATTCAGTGAAGTCTTGGTCTGAGAAATTAAACACTAAAGTTCTTGTACAACACTGAGGCACATGAGTTACTGAAACTATACACTATGTACATATAGGGACGGCGGTATTTGAGCGAAGTAGCAAATGGTGAAAAACATTTTACACTAGCAATAAATAATCAGAGCTTTGAAGATCCAAACTGAATTGAGAGGTTTTCCTCCTTTTTATAAGATTTTTAAACCGCACGCGAGAACTTTCTGGAACTTTCTCGAAATCAAAAAGAGATATTTATTAAATGTTAAATGCACGCGCTCTTGTATTTTTAATTTTCCGGCTTAGCTTTCCTTTAATATTCGTCACGCGCTGCACTGCGCGGGAAATAAAACCATTTAATTTACAATTCAACTAACATTAGCTCTTTAAATGCCAAATCCGTAACAATATATTGTAAGATTATCAGTACACATTATCCTTATATAATAATAACATTATCAGTGGAACACGGATGTTTATCATTACGGTCCGTAAAAAGTTAAAATTTAATTTCAGATTTTAAGAATCAGCTAAGTTTTCAGCTTTAAAAATCAGCTACATTAGCTAAATCTCCAGCTTTGAAACTGAATAATTTCTGAAACTTATATATATTATATATATATATATATATATATATATATGTTTACTACAGTAGACATTTTCATATACTAACATAAAAAACTAAGGTAACGAACACAAAATGGGTATTATTCCAAATATGCTCAGGGAACTCAAATGAAATTCCATGCCGATTACTTCATTTCAAGAGTAATTAAGATAACAATACAAAATAATATGAAAATGTTAAATTATGTATGCAAACTTCGAAAAATTTAAAGAAATGATTATGCAGTAGATCTCTTAGAAAGAAGTGTTTAATAGGAACAGTAACCGCCTTTTATAGATTTCTTAAGCCACAGAAGAAACTAATGAGAATTGCTTCTCATTCTTTCACAACTGCCAGTTAACTTGGTAGAGGGTATTGGGAGGGAGTGATATGTCCCGGAGAGACACACTTTACAAGTTCCTAGGTTATAAAATTTTCAGAGACCTTAACTTCTTATATTAGGTTTCTTTAAGCAAACCTGGATTCCCCTGTTCTGTAAAAATTATTATCCATGAAAATAAGCTGGGGGTCAATGAGGGGTAATGGGAAATTCGCTTGTAGGGTGTGAAGTTCTCGTCTCTATAGTAATGTTTAGTCCTATGATCGTCCCTGAGGACTGATCAGCTTGGCACCATGCTTGCTTCATAGTAATGATCACTGTCTTTTATGTTGGAAGAACGAAAACCCATTCCATACTGTTTCATAAAACAATTTTATTTAAAAAAACCACATAGAGTTTGACGTTTTCTACGCTATATTATGTTTCATTAGATAAAAGAAGATAATTGTTATTCTACTGTTGTATTGTTATTCTTTCTAGAAGTGATGCTCACGGCAGCACGAAATGATATTTAGAATATTAGAAGATTTAGAATGATATTTAGAAGATATGATATTTAGCAACACGAAATGATATTTTTTGTACAAAATTTATATTACATGTCAGCTAAATACTTTTTCCAAAATATATATTGGCAGGTTTGTAAAACATAACTCAATAGCGAGAGTAACTTTTGATATTACATCTTATTAATTCCTGTAGTACCTTAGCACATACCAGTTATACACTATCAAACGTTAATTATATGTAGATGCCCTTATTAACAGTTTCAATTAAATTGAATATTTTATTTACACTTCACTTTTTTAATTAAAGAATATGTGTGCGATTAGAAATTGCTTTTTATTTCTTTCGCGGAATAGTTTAAATGACATTTAGCAGTAGAATAAAGTTCATAATTTCAGAAAGCACCAAATAATTGTTTGTTTCCATGACTAGATGCAGTGAACGAGTCATTAAAGGTCTTCCATTCGACTGATCGACTAAAGGTTGGGAGTACAAATACAGGTAAATTCACTTCGCTAAAGCACTAGCAAACAGTTATCTGCTTACGCATATTTACACTCGGTTGCTTTGCTGTTCATCCAAGCCACGTATACAAATATGAATCTAATACGCCAACGGCAATATTTGATCTAGTTCATCCGCATCACTTTTTCGTTATTTCGTACTAATTCGGAAAAATAATCCCGCTCTGATATGTTATAAAAGTTAAATTATTTTTCATTCCAAAGTTCAGGGAGATAAGACAATTTTTAACGATTAGAACTTTCTTTCTTTCCACTGACAGCGAGGCAGCCGGTCCACTGGGTACTTAGCATATCGGCCAGGTAGCCCCGCTGACGGAAATAACTTGATCAACATAACACACTTAAATATACATATTGTGCTCAAGACGAGTGCTGGGGGCAGTGCAAACAAATGCTGGACGAGACGATAGTGCAGTAATGAAAGAAGGGTGCATTGCGGATGAGAAGAACAATTTCAGTTACATACCGTATTTTTCGCCGTATAAGACGCACCGGCATATAAGACGCACCCAATTTTAAAGGAGGCAAATCTAGAAAAAAAAGATTATGAACCAAATTCTGTAGTAAAATATTTTATATCAACTGTATAAAGTTAACAGCAGTTTAAGAAAAATTTTATGTCAACCATGTAACATACTAAGAGCTATCTTTAATCTCTTCATAAATCTATAGCACCACGATGGTGATCCGGTGAAATCCTGAATGCCTTTCTCCACAGCAATGCGTTTGGCTTCATAGATTATCATTTTTGTTGAGACAGAAAGTCCATTTTTCCGGTGACGTGTGATCCACTCCTTTACTTCTACCTCTAACTCTGGCCACTTTGCAGTTGGTCCACGCAAGGTGTGCTTGCTTTTATCCAACTTTTGGAACTGATCCTCCTGTTTTCTCCACTCTCTTATCATTTTCTCAGTTGGAGGTGGTCCAAAGTGTCTCTCCGCTGCTCTGTTTCCATGCTCCTTAGCAAATTTTTATTACTTCCAGCTTGAAAGCAACTTTATATGCCAGTCTCTTCTGCTTCGACATCTTGATGGGGTGGTATGAAATATGATATATTTCATTCAGATATACCATACTACATATATCACAGCTCACAGCTATCCGCGCCTCCGCTTGCTCCCGCACTGCGATTGGCTGAGCGAAGAGACGCGTGCCTTCACCCGCTCCCGCGCTGGCTTACGAGACTCTAAAAAGTGCACAAAGCCAGCGCGGGCGTCACCATATGGTGACGGCGCGGGAGCGAGCGAATCAAGGGTCAAGGATCAAGGAAGTTCGTGTTACGGAGTTCTTAGGCATAAACGCCTTTACCTTTACATCATCTGAAGAATAAAATGTCATCATCAAAAGAGGGAATTTTCTAATAAGGTAAAAATTTTGTTAAGCCGAAAAAAGCTTTTAAGAATAAGTGCCTTCACACTGAAAACAAATATAAAACTCAGAAGGTCTAATTTTGCGCCAAAAATAAGAGCCAGAATAAATTAGATAGGGGCAGTCATGAGCGAAGGCACGCGCCTCTTCGTTCAGCCAATCGCAGCGCGAGGCAGAGCGGGGCTTCCTGGTCTCAGACGGCGCCAAGAGGTGGAAGGGAACGGAGTGGCCGAGTATTCTTGCGGTAAGGTATGTATGCAGAGGTGGAGGGGCAGCGGAGGGCCATGGTGGGCTTTTGTATTTGCCGTATAAGACGCAGGCACTTTTTCCCCCCCTGATTTTGGGGAGGAAAAAGTGCGTCTTATACGGCGAAAAATACGGTATTTACAGAGATGGATAGGTGGTTACAAAAAACATCCACAACGTGAACAATAAATGTGTACAGTTTTATGAGCAATTAACAAAGTGACTGATAAAACAGTAAAAATAGTATCTAAAATAGGGCTAAATACTAAATAGCAATACTAAAAATAATAAGAAGTAAAATACTAAAAAGCGAAATAATAAAAAAAATAAAAAATGGCAAAACCGTGAAAACAGTACATAAAATAAGGCAAAATAGTACATAATTCAAGGTTCATAATTCAGGGTTTACCGTTCAAGGAGATAAGTATATACAGGGAATAAGAAAAGCCGAATAAGATAACTTAAGATAAATTAATTCATTACAGGTACAGAGCATACAGGGGCTGTGCTGGTGACGAGAATAACAGCTGAAAATTACTCCAGCCTGTCTGAGATTTTGCGTGCAATATTTATGCAATCGCATATGCGTTTCAATGCATTGCGATTTTTCGAAGTATCTTCGGCCCATACATGGATGTGGTTTGCTACTGGTTGCCTAAGATGATATTTGGCAGTCTCTCTGCAAACGAACTGATAGTGGTCCGGATCTCCTTCCATCCCGCATGAGCAATGGTTGTATTCGCGTCGTCTGAAGCGATGCAGGTAAGTCATGAAGGGACCATGTCCTGTTAGAAACTGAGTGAAATGAGACGAGCCACTTTTTAGAAGCCGGCAGACTTTTGGAAAAAATCCGTGAACTGTTCTGCCGGTGGTCTCTGTCTCCCACAGATGTTGCCAACGTTTGAGTAATTCTCTCTCGAACTCAGCTTTTAAGAACGAGCCCGGAAGAGGCACGTCAAGTGTGCAAACGGGTGGAGGGGTCAGTTGCTGCTCTTTTGGCTATTGCATCTGCAATTTCATTACCCAGTATTCCGGTGTGGGCAGATACCCACTGGAGTTCAGGCCTATAGTATTTTGGTGTTCTTAGTAAGAGTTTTTGTATGGCCCTGACGAGTGAATTTTTACTACATATGCCTTGGATTGCCTGGAGGCTAGAGGTTGAGTCTGAATATATACTGGAATAGTTATTTTCCAGTGCGTAGACAAGTGCAGCTTTTAATGTAATCAGTTCAGCCTGAAAAACTGAGTTGTGGTGTTTAAGCTTTGTTTCCCAGGTCTTTAAGATCTGGTTCCCATGTAGAATACAGTATCCGCTACCGGTGCCGCATGCTCCTTTGGAACCATCGGTGTAGATTGCAGTAGCTTTGAATCGCGTTGGTGACCTGCAGTTAATCGAGATGCTGAATTCGGCCGGGTGGCAAGGTGGCTCGGGAATGCTTTGCTCATAGTCAGTATAAACATAAGTCCTGTTCCATAAACTTATTGTCTCTTTGAGTCGGAGCACTCGCACTATTGCACTCTCACGCTGAGCTAAGAGATGCAGAGGCGGCAGTCCTGAAATCACGTTTAGAGCATCAGTGGGCGAGATTTTGTATCCTCGGGTAATGCTTAGGAGGAATGGTCTTTGTGGAGCGTAGCAGATTCTCCATTTTAGTAGTGATCGTTATGCCTCACAAGGAGGAACCATACAGTGCAATACGTTCAGCAACTACAAAGTACCACGTCTTAAGCATCTTTGAAGGAATTCCCCATGTTGGTGCTGCTGTTCTGAACATGGAATGAAATATCCTGTGAAGTCGTGACTTGACCTCCTTTAAATGTGGCATCCAAGTGAATGTGTCGTCAATTATAACTTCAAGGTACCCCAAGTTTCTGACTATTTTAATATTTTTCCCATGAAGGTTGATACCCGGGGTTTTTCGATGGCGCTTACCTGGGCAAATAAGCATACCTTGGGTTTTTGAGTTGGCAATAATTAACTTATGGTCATTGACCCATTTGGCCATCTTGTCCATTGCTTGCCGCGCCTTAGTCTCATATGCTTTGCGGCTGTTCCCTTTCGTTACCATCAGAAAGTCATCGTCATAAGCCAGTATTTCCGTGCGAGGATCTCATATGCTTTGCGGCTGTTCCCTTTCGTTACCATCAGAAAGTCATCGGCATAAGCCAGTATTTCCGTGCGAGGATCTGTGTTAAATAGAGTCAGCGCTGTGTCGGATACAAAACTCCAAAGCAGTGTACCCAGACAGGATCCTTGAGGACAGCCTCTATTGATGGAATGTGAGTGCACTCCTGCGTCCGTAGTGGCTTGTAAGCGGCGATCACTTAGGCAGCTGTAAATAAGGTCAAAGAGGACGATTAGAACTGTAAAAATCTACAGCATTAAACTTTGCGAAAGAATTCCTAGAGATTATCCTAGTACAGAGGCTGTTCACACATTTTTAGACGATGTATATTGTATTCACAAAACTAAATTACATAAAATTCTTGTGTTTTAAATGATTTGACATCCCTTATTCTGAACTATCTTTCGACACCGCAATTTCCAGGGTAATAATGCCTTTCGAAATGGCAGAAGAGGTATTCTATCCCATTCCTCCCGAACAGCTTTCCAGAGTCCTGTTAGAGTTTTGGGACAACGTTTGGATAATGCAGTTTTTAAAAGTCCGAAAGCACAAAAATCCTTAGGTGACACATCGGGAGATTTAGTAGGGATATCAGTGAAGGGTATGCCTTGATACCAGTTTTTTGTTCCATTTCTTATAGGAAATTTACAGTGGATTTTGATGTGTGACTGCTAACTTTGTCCTGATGGAGTCTCACAGATTGATGGGCACTGTGGGCGATGTTGTGTGTAAGCGATTGTATTTCATTCAGAAAAATTGGCGATAAAATATGTTCCTGATAGTATTTGGAGTTAATCTTGACATTTTTTTGCACTCTCTTTATTTTTAACTTGCAATTATAAGAAAAACCAGCAACAATCATGAATCTCTTAAAAAACTTCCTTTCGATTCTTTTAACCATGTATTTAAATTTTTTTCCTCCCATTTTATGATAATAAGTGGCTCTTTTTTTTTTGTTACAATCATTTAAATACACCCATGCTTCATCTATTGTGGCAATTGTTTTCCATTTTTCTTTGGATAAGTGTTTCTCATATAGAATTCTGCAGCGTGTCCTGCGTTGAGCGATATGCTTTGGAAGAAGACGATGCACATTGCGTTTTTTTTTTTCGCTTTCTTAAGATTTAAATCAACGTTTATCATTTTGTTTACAGTGCACACCGAGCATTTTAATGATTTTGCAACTTTCCTTTGAGTAGGGGGATTTTCTTTTAACATTAAACAACGTACCTTTGCA